ACCCCCTCGGCCAAATTCTTCCCAACTCCAGTGGGTATAGTCCTACCAGGGAAAACAGGGCACTGGTACAACATCTCATCTAAAGCATCTATAACGTCATGGCACCTGCGGCTGTGTAGCACGTTTGATGTAGATTGGTTCACTTTAAAGAGTCCTCCTGCAGGTTGCCAGCCACCTCTGCCACAGTACCTCCAGGTGGACATTCGGATTATCCTTGTTGAAGAGGACAGATGCTCCTGGACAGATGGGTATTTTCTGTACGGCATCCAGCCACAACAATTGTACGGCAGAAAATTAAATGGTAGTCCTTTAAGAACTGCTGCATTTCTTAATACTAGGCTCCCCGCAAACAAATACCAACTCTCTGCCCTGGTTGGTGCACAGCTTCCACAGATTGGACTGATTGTCCCTAGCTACACCGGTCTGTAAATAAAGGTGTGCTGGCTGTGTTATACAGAGTGCGGTGGGTGTGAAGTCGGCTTCAGTGGGAGCTGCAAGCTGCACTTGGAATTGACAAATTTTAATAAAACAACAGCTATAAATACTGGAACTGAAAATGAATTGAGACCCTGATTCTGGCCCTAACAGCTGATCAATATTTATTATGTATTCACACTGTTACCTATTTAGTATTTAAGCATAGTATCATAAATATTAAAAGTTCACTACAAATTCAATACCTAACATGTTTCATTTACTTGCTATTGTAAAGAAAACTTCCACTTTTGCTATGATACTGGACATAAGATTTTTTTATATGGGCAGTCAAAGTGTTTGTTATTAAGGTTGCATAGTTGAAGATAGTATTCCATTGTCTGCGACTGTTTCGCTGCAACATTTTAAGAGAATGCTTTTTCTCTGGACGGGTTATTCCTCATTTAACATTACCTTGTTTAAACATTATTTCATTTGATTTTTTCTTAATTAGGCCTGTTTCTTTGTACTACATTACGATTTCCAGTTTTACGTTGTCTGTTATGCGTCACTGATGTTGTGAACAGACTGACGCCATGAGAATTCAAGAGTATTTTTGCATGACAGCGAGCTATTGAAGTCTGCAAATTTATGTTGTGGTGCAAGGGAGACAGCGTATTGTGAGACAGAGAAAGAGAGTGATAAAGGAGATACTATGGATAAGGAGAGTGCGAGACAGAGACAGAAGAATAAAGGAGAGACAGAATGGGAAAGGAGGGAGAGAGACCAAGTGAGAAAGGAGAGATAGGGAGGCAAAAACAGTGAGAAAAGAAATTTTGGTAAAGGGGGAGAGAGAGAGAGAGAGACAGAGAGAGAGAGAGAAAGCAGGAAAGAAGAGAGTAAGAGCCAGAGTGGGAAAGGAGAGACAAGTTGAAGTCTATGAATGGTAGATGTGAACTTATACAGTATTACTGTTAACACTCGGTGATCTATTTTGGTTTGCAAATTATTTCAGTAAAGGAATGCACGGTGTTGTATACGTATGGCACATTTTTTCAACTTGTGCATTATTTTTTTTTCCGGCAGTAAAATATCAAAAGGAACCCAACTGTGGCTTTAATATTGATTCTTATAGGGACACATGATTCACTTAAAATTGTTTCACCCATCTGGATGAGTACATGAAGAGGAGGGTTTATAGGGATCTGGGCCAAGTGTTGGTAAATGTGATTAGATAAATTTCGGATATCTGGTCGGCATGGACGAGTTGGACCGAAGAGTCTATTTCCATCCTGCACATCTCTATGACTGTAAGGAGCAATTTGCATGAATGGAAGCAAATCTTTACTGCACAGGAGTTTACTGTACTGTCTTAACTTGTAGTCTGTGGATGTTATTCAAACAAAACCTGGTAAGTGGAAAACTGTGGAATCAGATAAGCTGTATGCCCCGCCAAAATATCACTTCCCATTAAAGATGGAAGGTGACCTTATACCAGTTTTAAAATTCTGAATGGGATCCAGCAGTCGATGCTGAAATAAGGTTTCTGCTGTTGGAAAGATCAAAATTGCTGACCACACATATGAAATACTAATAAATTCAAAAGGGAATTTAAGAGAATTTCTTTTTACACTCAGAGAGTGGTTAGAATGTGAAAACTTTTATCATATGGACTGCTTGAGGTGAAAAGCATAGATACAATTCAGGGTAAACTAGATTAGTATATGAGGGAGAAAGATTGGAAGAGGAATATCATTGAATCATAGAATCCCCATGGCACAGAATGAGGCCATTTGGCCCATCAAGTTCACACCGAGCCTCCAAAAAACATTCCCCCATCTACCCCACCCCCGTAACCCCACATGGGGTTTTTACCATGGCTGACCCACCAAACCTGCGCATCCCTAGACAACATGGGGTAAATTGTAGCATGGCCAATTCACCTAACCTACACATCTTTAGACTATGGGGGGAAACTGGAGCACCCAGAGGAGACCCATGGCTTTTCTGCGGAAACCTAAGGAATATTGATAAAGTGAGGTGAAATGAAGTGGAAGGACGTTCTTGTGGAGCACCACAGGGTTGAATAACGTGTCCCTGTGTGGTGAATTCTGCATAATTCTGTGTAAAATCCTGAAAGTTTATCGCTTCATGGTCAGGCTGATCCCCACAATTAAAATCATTAATATAGTTTCATTCTTTATTTACATAAATGTTTTCAATCAGTCCACAAACCTTGGGTGATACCACTGTTTTTCAACTGTGCAAGGGGACCTGTGTTACCTTTTCTAGACATTGGGTGTCTAAGTGTTAAGATAATGGCCAAGAAAACCAAATGTTGTAACTTTGAATCCTAGCTTAGCTAATTGGTTTGGGCTGGCACCATGAAATGTTGTGCTTCTCCACTCGACCGATGGCATCTTGCCACCCTTATCTGTGTTGTCTTCAGGCTCACATTGTGTTCAAAACCAGGGATAGGTGACATACCTGCTTTGTCAATGTTGTGAGCATCCTAAGAGTGGAGAGACAGCTAAAATAATCATAACACTGACAAATACACCTTATATTTACAACACTCGTTTCAGGCCAAATAGAAAGCCTGAATGGTTTTACACTGTCCCAGTCCCTGATGTTTTACAGTGGCATTGGATTATAGCCCTTCCCCATTGAACTTTGTGGCCGTCCCAGGTTTCAGTGTAGCCTGGACCTTGGAATGTGCCAGGGTGCAACGCTCCGTCATTGACAGCTCTTTGTGTTGGGAGACCAACACGTTTTGGTCAGATCGGAGCATCTTTCACCTCCAGCAGCAGATAATGATTATCTGGTTGTGGGGTTCCTGGGAGCAGCCAGTAGATCAGAGTCCTGACTGGCGGAGCTGCTCATGGAAGAATGCCTGGGCGAAAATCCCTACCTCTCTTTCCAGTCCTCTTTAGCAAAGCTGCATTATAGAGCCATAGAGTCATACAAAACATAATACAAACATAATGCCAAACTAGACTAGTTCCACCTGCCTGTTCCTGGCCCATATCCTTCCAACCCCTATCTATTCATGTTGTTATCCAAATGTCTTTTAAATATTGTAACAGCATCCACATCCACCACTTCCTCAGGAAGTTCATTCTACATACGAACTATCTTCTGTGTAAAAAATTTGCACCTCATGTCTTTTATTAAATCTCCCTTCTTTCACCTTAAAAATGCACCCCCTAGTCTTGAAATACCCCATCTTAGGGAAAAGACAACTACTATTAACTCAATCTATACTCTGAGTATTTTATAAACTTCTATCAGGTTGCCTCTCAACCTCCTATGCTCCAATGAAGAAAGTCCCAGCCTATCCAGCCTTTCTTTATAACTCAAACCTTCCATACCTGACAACATCCTGGTAAATTTCCTCTGAACCAGCTGCAGCTTCATAATACCCTTCCTATAACTGGACCACCAGAATTGGACACAACATTCCAGAAGAGACCTCACCAATGTCCAGTGCGGGCAGTCTGTTCCCTACTGCAGCTACTTTGAGGGCAGTGTGCAGAATGGGAGAGACTCCAGGCGTGCTCGCCACCGGCCAAACTATGTGACAGTGCTCGTTACAAATTTCTGGCAATGAGCGGTTCCACCCCTCTAATTCCTGCACAGCATCGAGGATATTACATGCAGTTCATTGACAGGGTATGGATGATGCTGACAAAACCATTCAGAGGGCAGTTAAGAGTCAGTGCATTGTTGAAGGTCTGGAGTTTCTTATGAGATGGAGTGGGTAAGAACAGCAAATTTCAGTCCCTGAAAGGCCTCAGTGAACTAGACCGGTTTTCACAACAATATTGCAAATTTCATGGTGGCTTTTTAATTTGAGATTTATTTAATTCCGTTCCCAAAATGTTGCAATCTTGTTTGAAGTGGTTGAGTGCAGGTTTCTGGATTACTGGAGCAATAACATTCCTACAAAGTTCCTGTGTGCTCTAAACATGGAAATACTTCAAAAGAGTCAGTGTGGACTGGATGGAAATGAAGGGCTATTTCCGTGTTAAGGACCATCAGACTTTTGAGATGCAGCTGATACCTCCCTGTTCTAAATTTCCAAAGATTAAAGTGCACCATCCAGAGTGGATGCACGCTGTCCTTGCAAAAGCATTTTTATTTGTACACTGCAAGTCACAAGTCAACAAATAACTTACATATGTAGCCTCAGGTGGTCAGAAACCACAAGACAATCATAACTAAGTGGTGTTAACACAGCTCCCCTCGCACTGAGGCACTCAATAATTTCTCGTGGCCCATTTTCCAAACAGTAATGCTCACTGGTTGTCGATGCTGCTTTCAAATCTGAATCAATAACCTGTCTTCAATCTAGTCCCAGTTGGGAACAATTGACCCTGCAGTTTGCCCTCCAAGTAATATATTTGTATCTATGTTTCAAATGCAAAAAGAAATTGATTTGTACTGCAGTTGATCAGTGTTGGGTTATTGTGCTGATCCTCAGCTTTCTGAACCCAGTTCCTTTCATTGAAACGGCCAGTATTTTAGTTCTGGTTGATTTGTTTCAATACATTTTAATTTTTGTTTTCTTTTATTCTTTTCATGGGATGTGGGCATCACTGGCAGGTCAGCCTTGCTTACCCATCCTGAATTGCCCTTGAAGTGAGTGGCTTGCTCAGGCATTCCAAAGGGCTATTAACAGTCATCCACATTGCTGTGGGTCTGGAGTCACATGTAGGCCAGACCAGGTAAGGACAGCATATTCCCTTCCCAGAAGGATATCAGTGAACCAGCTTTTTAAAAAAAATTATTTTATTTTTCTAATCAACCTGCTCAGAGGTTGTTTTACACACCTCTGGAGCAGGTGGGACTTGATCCTGGGCCTACCAGTCCAGGGGCAGGGACACTACCGCCACATCTCAGGAGGGACGTCCAGCTGGATTTTTAAGATGGTAGTTTCATGATGACCGCAATTAAGAACAGCTTAATATTTATCAAATGAATTCTAATTCCAACAGTTTATGTGAGAAAGCAGTGCCCCCAGACCATTAGCCCAGGTCTCTATATTACTAAGATTATCATTACACCTCTGCCATCAGCTCCCTTCTAAATAGCCATTGCCGTTGTACCATCTTATTATTGTTGCCACAGTGCATAATGCCAAGAGCTGGTCAACAACTTCAAACCACAACTTTAGACCCAACTGAACTGATTTTTAGGTGCACACTCATATTGGATTGTGCAAAACTGCTCAATTTTCCAGAGCTCAGAGCGGGATATGGCGATTGTCAACTCATCCTTGGTTAAGAGACTGTACCCTGTCAACTTTGCATGAGGTTAAAGCATCAATTTTCATTTTGTTATGTGTTCCTAAAGCAATCAATAGCGTAATTTTGCAATGATAATAGATTGATCAAAAACAAATTGACTGCTAAAATGTTTTGCCGATGGATCACTAATTCTTCCCGTCTTGTGTCTTAAATCATTGCAGTGTGTGCCGGCACAGAGAATAAGCTCAGCACCCTCTCTGACCTGGAGCAGCAGTATCGAGCACTCCGGAAGAATTATGAAAACTGCGAAGTTGTCATGGGCAACCTGGAGATCACGAACATTGACCGAAACAGGGACCTCTCCTTCCTGCGGGTAAGTTAGCACCAGTCACTACACTGAGCCTAGGGCACTGGTGCACTGCTGCCTTGTTTCACACTGGCCCCAGTGGCACATGTAGCTTAACTGTAACTAAAGATGAGGGAACAGCAACATTGCAGCCAGCTGATCTCTGGGAGATTGCAGTAAGAACCAGAAATACAGAGCAGACTCTGAGGGGAAAAATCGGTTAATGCTTCATGTGCTGACAGAAAAATGCTGGTAACACAGTGAACGTGAAAGGGGAAGGGCAACAGGTTAAAGGTTTTGGAGAGGAGGCTTTTGCTCTGTCTGAACTGTCAGTTCGCCTGACATTTACTTTGCATTTCCAATATGTAGTTGTTTCTCCTTTGGATGTCTAGTTTTACTGCTCTGCTAAAGCAGCAGGGTCTTGTTTCTTTCAACATTGTTTTGTAGATTTGCAGTGCGGTGAGAATCCATGGTATTTGATGTGTTTCAGGATAAATGAAATTGAGACTCTCGGAGTGGTAGCAGATACATTCTCTCCTGTTGACAGTTGGTGCTAATCGCCTCTACTATAACAGTTTGCACTAAAACCATTTAATGAAGTGATTTACAGTTAATTACTTAAATCTGTTTAGTAAACTGTTACTGCAAAACATATCTATCAAACGCCAGGCCATTAACAAACTAATTAAGCATTCTGGAGTAAAGTTAAGGCACTGCATTCTGAAAGGACGTATTGAAGCCATGTGGGAGGAGAGTGTTCAGAGGATTCTGATGAGATTAAGGTACTTTCTTTTTATTGCCCATATGCCTGTCTAGAGAGCATGATCTCTCTTTATTGTTACTTAACCAGTGTGCTGTTACTCTGTAATCAAAACAGAAAATTTTGAAAATTCTCTGTGAGTCAGCCATTGGAGCAAAAAACAGTTGACATTTTAGGTTAATGACTCCTTGAATGGTCACCGACCTGAAATGTTAACTCTATTCCTCTCTTCACAGATGCTGCCCGATCTTCTGAGTTTGTCCAGCAGTTTCTGTTTTCGTTTCAGATCTTCAGCATCCGCCGTTCTTTATTTTAACATTTTGCTTTTGTTGCTCTTGGTTTATGTTGGAGGGTCTGTGTGAAGAAGTCAACATTTCCACCTCCCCTTTCAGCTGCTCAGAGGCCGAGGAAGGGTTATGGATCAAACTCCAACTCCTTTACAATCTTACGGTGGGAATATTTACCATGCTGCACGTTTTGCTTGTAACATGATTTCCTTTGCAACTGGAATGGAAGTTATTTAGAATCACAAAGTCACAGGAAACTCTTGCAGTTTCACGAGGGAGTTTCGTCAGGGTTCACTCCAGACTCTCAGTTGCTTCTATCTCACCCAGTAAACCAACATTCATGAACCAACTGCACCAGTTAGGGAGAAATTGTTTCCACTGCTGGGAGAGTCAGTAACTGCAGGACATGGACTTAAAATAACTGACAAGAAAATGAGCGGAACGATGAGGAACCTTTTCCTTAAACTGCTGATTGTGATCTGGTATACACTACAACAAAGACTGTGGAAATCATTTTAATAGTAACTTTCAAAAGTTGATGGGATAGGTTTTTGAAAGGGAAAGAGCAGGGGAATGGAGACAAATGGATAGCTCTTTCAAAGAGACAGCACAGATACAACAGGTTGATTGGTCTCCTTCTGTGCTGTGCGATTTGAGCATGCCAAGTCATGCTGTTGTTCATTCTAACCTCCGATGGTAATACTGCTGCTTTGTAATCAAACTGTTCAGAAACACTATTAGATACCACTGGACCTAGCGTGTTCTGAACCTGGCCCTCTTGGGTCAGAGATAGGGGCGCTATCACTGCACCACAAGAGCCCTTTGGATTGTAATGGGCACCAATCAATTGTTCCTTAGACATAAGAATTAGGAGGGATATTCAAAAGATGGCTGGTCCAATGTCCAAAGTAAAAATTGCATGTCCACCGCTTCCTGGTGAAGTACTAAAACGGGGATGAAAAATTTCCCAGCTCCTGCTGGGGCTAGGATATCAGGAAATGTCTCACTCTCAGCCCACAGTTTCACATTTACTGGAAAAATTCACACTTTTGGTTGGTTATGAAACAAGTTTTGGTTTCCTGTACAGCCAAACCCTGGCTGTCCATTGTTTGTTCCATTGCCCACCTCACTGCTTGAGTTCACCCCTTTGCTCCATGCCTCCACACACTGCAATACTAACTGTCACAGACTCACAGACTTGCGTTGTCCACTGACCTTCAATTGAACAGGTAATTACTTGGAAATGGGAATAATTGCTGGCTGCGTAATTACTCCCAGCTGTTCCGATTGGAATTTGAAGAGTAATTATCCAAGGTGAATGAGAGATTAAAATTCTGGCAGCAAATACGTTGCTCTTGGGCAAACTAGACTGAATGACAATTCATTTTTTTTTGAAATTTGTAAACCCGAGAGAAATTACGAACGTTAACCATCGGTTAAAATGTTAGCTGCTACCTTCAGCAAGTATTTTGACCTCACACTAAATTGATTCTGTCATGAGCCAGTCCATACCTCTGTAAACAGAACAGCCCAAGGAGCAGGGCCCTGACTTTTGAAGCCATTGTAGGTGAACAAAAGAAAGTTGACTCAAAAAACATTTCTTTCTGTCATTAACTTTGAATGACCCTCTTCCCAACTTATTCTGAGGAAGGGTCACCGGACCCGAAACGTTAACTCTGTTTTTTCCTTCACAGATGCTGCCAGATCTGCTGAACTTTTCCAGCAACTTTGTTTTTGTTCTCTTCCCAACTTGGTCTGACAAGCCATGACCAGATTCGGAGGCTCTTGGAAAGAGTATAGCCTTTTGTTGCATTGTTTTGAATATGGATCACGGATAGAACTGTTACTGTAGCAATTATGCTTGACCATATGGATAGGTTGGAATTTAACCTGCATGCTGTCGGATCCTATCTTTTAAAGACAGTGATACTTCTGAGTGAAGTCATAGTTGAGGACAATATTGCAGTAGACATCAGAAAATGTAGGCTAGTTTAAAAGATTGAACAGGCTGGGGAACTTTACTTGAGACACAGAATGCTGAAAAGTGATCATCAAACTTATGAAATGGTTTAACAGGTATAGTGTAGCAAATCAATCCACTCTTTATGACAAACTGAGAATTAGGTCCCTTAAGTATAAGCCAGTCACTAATAAATCCATTGGGGTGCTCAGGAGAATTCTCCTTTTACTCAGAAAATGTTAAGTATCTAAAGCTCTGAAGTTAAGTATCTAAATGTTAAGTATCTAAATTTCTGAAGAAGGGTCTAGACCCGAAACGTCAGCCTTCCTGTTCCTCTGATGCTGCTTGGCTTGCTGTGTTCATCCAGCTCTACACTTTGTTATCTTGGATCAAATAGAGTAGTTGAGTTGAATAGCAGAGATAATTTTAATTGGCACCTCAAAATTCACGAGAAAGGAATAGAGAACTACATTGGTGAGGTTAGATGAAGAGCAATGGGAGAAAGCTTGTGTGGGGCATAGACATCTTCGGTCTCTTTGCCTGTTACTTAGCTGTAAATATGTCATAATACTTTGTAATTTTGTCTTTAAAGTGGTATGAAAATGTATAATGGTATAAAGGAAGTCTCAGTTATCAACTTTGCCTAGCTTCAAGGAGAGGTAGGATGAATGGCCTGGAGTATCACTCCCAATTCCCAGAGGTTCTTTACATGTGAGTTTTCTCGATGCTGAATACAAGAAGTAGCGAGAGGAATATTTTGAATCAATAATAAACATAATTCCTGTCAAAAATTTAGCTGTCTCCAGTGTCAGAAATTTGCAATTAAAAGGGTCAAGGTTATTCAACATTCAACCTGGTGATCAATTATGGGAGTGACTCACATTGTCCCAAACAGTGCACAGGCCTCCAGTGCACCCTACTGTGATTCCGTGCGGACAATTTAACTTTAAACATGCTTGCTGACTTTCCAGATACTGCAAATGGAAACAGAAGGTTCAATTAAACAAGTTAATTTTCTTTTAAGCAGGTCAGTGTGTTAAATGAAGCAGATTGATACTCTGTCTGCTGCATCACAGGATAATGCAATATGGCTTTGCATCTCAAATCCCTCAAGTATCCAATTCTCGGTTGCAGTAGTTCATCCTTTGGAGAGTAACCGGGGTTGGCACTTCAGGATTAACAGCCTGAAAATGAGGTCAGTTGCCTTAACTGGAGGTTATGAAGATGTAAGTAATGCCATGAGTAGAGGTAGAAAGTTGGGTTGCAGATGGGGGAATATGGTGTAGATCCATATGGTGCATATAGTACCCTGGTTGCTATTTCTGGGTTGAAGTGTTTGGAGATGATCTGACACAATGAGCTGTCAAGGCTCACTTATCAGGGATAGCCATGGGGTAAGTGAGGCAGCGAGTAGCAAACCCTAATGATCTACCCCACTCTAGGACTGGTCTCTTCAGAACTGAAAGAGTGAAATTGAGTTCTGCAAATAATTATTGGGGAAGATGACAAGAACATCTTTTGACAGTCGTGAAAAGTTAGTCATAATGAACCGGCAGGGGGTTTTTATACTCTTGTCTGGTTTACTTTTGCCTTGCAGCCATGAGAAGGAAAATGAGGCTGTTAACAAAAAGGGCAGCCTGTGCGCATGACTGGCCAAGACCACTTTTACCACCCTGAAAGGATCCTCACCCTAGTTATCACGTGTGCAGTGGCATCACCTCTCTATGTTAGAGTGCAGCAAGACAGCTGTACTTGGTCGAATCATTCCACTGTTACCGATACCAGGTAGCATTAACCCTGTAGAGTACCGAGCTCAGTGTTACAAGTTGAATTAGGTATATTGACATAGTGTCTTATAATTACTAGTCAGCCAATTTTTAAACACTAGGAGATTGGTGAAAGTTTTCAACTCAGTGCCTCAATTTTAAAATTCTTCAGGCAAGGCTCTAAGCTCTGGACTGCTTTCTGTAAAGCCCTTTGCCTTCTCCTCACCCCCATCTCCTTTCAGAATAAAAACACA